TGCCTGGGTGTAATTACATGATACATGCTGGTTAAGCACAAAAATTTTGAATAGACAGCTTTTAATTAGGCATGTGCATTGGGTCACAGTAGAATTAAAATGGGTTCTAAAAAATTGATTGTATAAAAATGGCACCTGCTTACTCAACGGATCTGATTTTTGGCTAAAGTTGCAGACACGTGTCTGTGTCACATCGTTCTGTTGGCCCTTGTAGAGGAAGCCAAGTTCAGAGACGGAGTGCTCAATCCTTCCCACGATGGGGACAGATGTAACCTGAGTTACAATTATTATTTGTGGAATTACTGACTTTCAAATGGGACAAACAGCTGATTTGCAACTGTTGCTCAGGTTTCATTAAGAGGAGAAGAGGAAAACTGAGGCCTATCTAATGCAAGTTGGAGTGCCTGAATGACTACAAATACGTTTTTATTTCACTTTTTGTCAAATTTAGCAAATAATAATTTCCGTTACCCTGTTTTTTCCCCTGAACCTCAGTTCCCATAGTCCAGCGAGTGAAAGGAGGATCTGTGGATAGTGGTGACCTGTCAATCTGCAGCGTTTGTCAGCGCATGGGTAAAACTTTCTGTACGAGGTGAAGATTGGGAAATGCTTCTTCCGTGCCAGTCTGAACAGACGTATTTTATTGGGCTGTTCAGTGTTCTCACGTACCAGCAAGTGGTCCTGAAATGATTTCTGAGCACAGAGGCAGCTGAGCATTACATCTCCCAGCAGCTCTTTTCATTTCACTGTGGCTGCCGCAGTACTATCTGTCAGATAAAGTTGTTATAAAGCTAATAATAAAATGGTCAATTTTATATTTAGCTATTCCAGTCAGTAGCTGTGGTTATTGTATGCATATGCTTCTCCCCAGTTTACATTGTTAATACATTTTAATAGTTAATTTAATGTTCCTTTTTAAAAGAAATAAGTTAGAATTTTCTTGGCAGTATTTTTTCAGTATTATATTGGATATTCAAGAACTTCAGTATTATTGTGCATGTCATCTTATACTGAAATCTCCCTTATAAGTTATTATAATTCAATCATTTTTATTTTAAATGTAAGGGTAATTATGTAATGCGTATCAACAAAACGTAGGGCCACATTTTTCAAAATAAGATAAATCAGGCTAACATGAACTGCAGGATCCTAGGTTTTATCTTTTGTCTATAAAAGTCATGCCATGCAGATATTAGCAGCCAGAGCCAAACTGCTTTTACAAGGTTCTGTGGCAGGTTAGAGTACAAGAAAACAGAGAATTTCTGTTTATACAGAGCCTCTTGAAATGTTTTACATCCAAAGAAATGCCTCTACCCATTCATAACAAAATTTTTTTATTCACACACTGGATTAACACCTATGGCAGGTGGAAGGAAGCAGAGATTCCAAGTTTCAGAATATAATATAGCTGCTACTGTTTAATTAAATGGTCCCTCGTGCACTAGGTCTCTGTGCTGTTACTAGTAACTGTACACGCACATATAAAAATATCTCATTTCTAAAGAATCTTCACCTCTGCCATAACCATCAATCACATGCCGTTGTTATTAAAATTACCCCCATGTTTCATATCTCAGTACTGGAAACATGCTATCACACCTCTGAATTTATTATTAATATGCTACGGTGCCAGCAATGTTGCAGCATTTTGCAGAAAGAGAAGAGAAGGTCACTGCTAAGTGACAGAAATAGTGAGCAGTGACAGTAGATAGTGTGGGTGGGCAGGTGAAGGGGAAGCTTCAACAATAAAGTAATCACATATTGCTAGTTCAGAAGCATTTGCAGAATTTAGAGTATATGGTTGAGAAATGCAAGTAGGAATAAATAATGCTGGAGAAGTTCATAGAAGTTACCTGGGCTATAAATGCAGGAAAAAAAAAATACAGCCTGAGTCTTGCAGAGCTGGTGCTTGACTCTCCAAACGTTGGGCTGGTTTTAGCTCCATTGCTATTGGCTTGTGCTGGCTGCAGGGGGGTAGCAGAACTGTCTCTGCCCCCCACCAAATCACAGCATTCTGTCGTATTTTAAGCTCATGGACACAGATAATAAGAGCTTGATCCAAAACCCATCAGAAGCAATGGAGAAATTTCTATTAGACTTTGAATGTGGTGGTAAATTAACAACGAAGGTCTAATCCGCATTTTTTCCTCTGCATTCAGACTTCAATGTTTAAAGGAGTCTAAATAATATGAAGAAGGCAAATCCATTAGGAAATTCAGTTCACTGAGGTACCATAAAAAATTCCAGCCAGGGAACCAAGTGAACAAGAAGCTATAATAATAAGAAATAAGCAAAGTGTTTGTATATAAATGGTGCGAACATGAGTAAGAAAATGGAGGAATTTTACCTACTAGGGCAAGATTTGTATACAGACATTCTAGGGGTCATAAAAACATAGCAGAAACAATAACTGGAGTCACTGAACAATATAGGTTCATCAGAAAAGAGGGAAATAGTGCTGGTAGCATTACGTGGGACATTAGGATAATTTGTAATGAAATGAGTTATGTCAATAAAACAGTCTCTGTTTGGATCAAACACTTCAAGCATGGAAAAAAAATATTTTTGTAGAATTAATGTCAGCAAAAAATCCCGAGTGTCAGATTTGACTCTGTAACGTCATTGTAGAGAGGAATGCAAGTAAGAATCTGTCACTAGAAGATGTTGAAGCTCATAAGTTTCTTTACCAGTCACTAAACTAACAAAAGACAGTGATAGTTTAGATCTCTTTTTTTGCTTTGAAATATGTTCATAACAAAACATAACTTTTAACCAAGCATTCAGGCAATGATTCCATTTACATTACATGACAAAGTAAGTAATGAACAGCAAACTTCAATAAACAGAACAAGCTAGTTGAAGTGAAATATTCTGGGGCTTCATGAATATTTCTGTGAAGACGACATCAAATTTCATCAAGTGTAACATAGCGTGCTGTACCTGACAACAGTGGAGTAGGTTCGGCCATGCAGGAAGTCCCCTCCAGACCTGTGTTCCTAAATTTGTCAGCTAAATGCAAGAGCCTTAAGTAAAGCAGAGGTAATTATAACACAGTTTGACAAATTTGGTCGCTGTCAGTGTTCTCTAACATTCTTTGACTCAATGCTGAATTTGGACATTGGTTGCCAGACAGAAGAATCTGTTCTGTGATGGTATAGATGTTTGAGATGTAGGACATGTATTGCCTACTCTACTGGGTATCTATCAAACCTGCCACTTTATCTGGAGAGTACTATTCAGATGTCTTCTCCACAAACCAGCACTCCTGATCTCCCTCATCCCTAAACAGTCTCGAGTAAGTTAGGGTTGGTAGGGTGTGTGCAGAGTTCCTACAGGCCAGTGAGGAAGATGAAACTGTGGAGAGCACCCCATAGTGGGGATGCTAAAGTGCAGAGATGTTCAGCCTGGAGGAGAGAAGGCTGAGGTGGCTCTTACCAATGTATGTAAATACCTGAAGGGAGGATGCAAAGAGGACGGAGCCAGACTCTTTCCAGTGGTGCCCAGCGAAAGGACCAGAGGAAACGGGCACAAACTGAAACACAGCAGGTTCCCTCTGAACATCAGAAAACACTTTCTCCCTGTGAGGGTGACCAAGCACTGGCACAGGTTGCCCAGAGCTGTTGTTGAGTCTCTCTCCTTGGAGATATTCAAAAGCCACCTGGACATGATCCTGGGCAAGTGGTTCTAGGTGACCCTGCTTGAGCAGGGGGATTGGAGAAGTTGATATCCAGAGATCCCTTCCAACCTCAACCATTCTGTGATTCCGTAAACAAGCTCCAGTCACTTTAGTAGGTTTAATTCTAAAAGCCAAGTGAAGTTTGATGCTTAATATAAATGTTCTGCATAACTTCAAAATACCCACTCACTGTGAAACTGTGATTTCTGGAGGCAGACTATGGCTTGCTCAGAAAATCAGCCAGGAATTATAAAGGGGATTGCTATTATGTTTGTCCATATGCACCCATTATTATTAGAAGAAGCAGGAGAGAACAGTTAGAAAAGATACCACGGGAACCTTTCAAGGGGTTTTCCCAAAGTAGAGAGGCTTTGAACTTTGCATTATCATGGCACAGGCTCTGTATTGTTCTTAACTTACCTCTGTTCCTACCAAATGCTGGGTACTTCTGTCTGTGTCAGCAGTGAGGAACTCTCTGCCTGGAAAATGAGTTAGATTTGGAGAACCTCCTACAGTCCAGAAATTTATTTAAAGGATTTCTGAAATTAACCCCTTTTATTACTCCTCCATGTCTCATGATGTGAAACTCTGTTTCTTCCCAGTTCAACACCACTGTAGCTATTTCTTTGAGTTGAACTTAGTAACTCATGCCTTTCTCCCCATCCCTCTTAACCTTCAGCCGCATCTGAATGCACAGTTCAACTGTGAGTTAGAACTTCAGAGGGTGCCTAGAAATGCTATTCATGTCATACCTCAGAAACCCCCAAAACCTTTAAAAATGTTGATTCGGGAAATGTTGAAGAATTTTCTGCTGTGTTGTGAGGGATAATGCAGGGTCATTATTTGAAGGAGTTTTTACCCAAGACCTTTTAATGGTCAATTTTTCTTGTTTAGTGACTGGGGAAAAGGGCTACGTGGCCTCTATATTTCCTGACTGCACTCCTTGTGCACAAGATACTTTCTTTTCACTGGAGACCTATGTAATGTCAACTAGTTTATCTGATTTTCTGATTTATGAAAAACATATTGTTTTAAGTTTTAGATCATAGCTAATCCTGTACAAATGTATAAAGTGAAGGGGTGAAAACAGACAATGATTTATTTGCCCAACACAATAAACGCATTCCTCTTGCACCCTGCTTAAGTATTGCAAGAGAGCATGAACAAACAGATTGGTCTCCTCCCACCACATATCTGCATTGCCAGCACTCAGCGAAATAAAGACTGCATGGATTAAAAAGTTGCAAGGGTATTATTAAGGCATGAGCTACTGAAACGGGAGCATGCACTGAAGAGGTCTCAGTTCAACAGTATCAGTCCCGTTATGAGCAATGTCAGCCTAACTGCTAATGCTGAAGGCAGGGATGAGAATGCAGGTAAGACCTTTCTATACCAGGGCATGAGCAAATCACGATGAATTGCTGTCATTGCCACAATAATTTAGTACAGTACATTCGTTCGTTCTTTTAAATCTTGACTTTTGAAAACTGTTTTACTCTCAGCTGCTTGAGACAGAAGCATTGGAGTTCCTTCAGCACTGCCTGCGAAGTGACCTTACTGCTTTTACTTATAGTTTGACATCTATTTATGATGCACATTTAAGACAGTATTTGCAGCTCCTCAGGTTTCTGCGAATAATACTCATAAACGTTTAAGCAAACTCTCTTAGCACTTTTTCCCTAGATGCCCTCTGAAGAAACCTTTCTCTGAATCACAATTTGTGCATATGCAATTAATTACTGTCAGGCTGTTAGGCAGGCTGATCATGTGGGAATTGACCATTTCGTTTTCACACAGAAGCAGCCTTTGCCTTTCGTTGTCACATAGAAACAGCCCTTGCACTGGCATCTTGATGATGCTGGTTTTCTCTCAGTTTGCTTGATTAGCTCTTTTGATTGAAGTACTTCAAAGACATAATTTCATAAATACACTAGAAGCAATTCCACACAAACCACCTCATCCTCCCTAAATCATTCTCATTTTATTGCTGAATTTTGAAATACCATTAAAGAATTATGTTATGTTAGGTCAATTATTGAACTGTGTACCTTGTAGACACCTAACAGTGTTGTCTGTATAAATGATTTCTTCTTCCTAATTAATGGTAGGATAGTAAGATGATCTTCACTTAGAAAAATACTTTTAACGTGTGGAGTTCTCTAACCAAACATCCTCCTACTTTTATATAAAGAAGCAGACTGTTTTATTAAAGTGGAAGATGAGCGTGGGTCATCAAACTATTCTGAATAGTCTTTGTACTGATTACTCATTTTTATCTTAATATGGACCTTTAACAGCATCATAAAAATTTATTTATGGCTATAAATATATAGGTCCATTCTAACAACAAGAAGGAACTTCATGATCTTGAAGGTCCTTTTCAACCTAGTGATTCTGTGAACTTGAACTTATTTCTGAACTTTTCAGCAACAGAAGCTGGTTGGGGCATGAGCAATATGGAAACCCATAAATAGCTTGTTGACTTAAAGTATTCTGCTTTCATATATGCTCTGACTGGTAGCTCTGTACTATACATGAGACAAGATTTGGAAGTAAAGGTAGTATCTTTATTTTTATCTGACCAACTGGTTTAGCTGGAAATATTAAACTGATTTTCAGACGTTTTCTTAGATTTTTCCAATAAAAAGCTATTATTCCTAGCTACAAAATTTGTTCTGTCATTGTCCTTGAACCATCGTGGCTATGACAAAATGCCACTAAACGTCTCTATAATATGCAAGATACAGTTTAGTTCATGCCTAGAATAGGAAATGACTGCAGTAGTCCTTGATGTCCGATGGCAAGTAATGGCATTTAATAGGAAACTGTCAATACCATGATCAATGCAAAAAGTATTTCCTTATTCACATGCATGCACAGTCTTGCATCCCTATTCATTGCTTCTTAAGTCCACAAGTACTTACTATTTCCTTTTTTTCTCCCTTTTACTCTTCACCAAACAATGGTATTTCTTGATAACCAATCTTCCAAATAAAATCCCATTGTATCTTATAAAAAAGTAATCTGTGGACTACACTGAAAGGTGGTTAAGAAAAGGTGTATGTCTGGATCCAGCTTAATTCTCCAGCTGTGAGTTTCCGCAGACAAGAAATAGTGCTGTCATTGTCTATTTGTATTACATTTGCTGGCAGACAAACTTTAATTTTTTTGTCTCCACTGTTTGAATCAGCATGTTGATCTAATTTATTTTATTTTTTAGTAAAGTTCTATGTCATTAAAAAAATTGTACTGCATATATAGTAATTGAAGCTGTCTCATGTTGTCTCTATTTTTTCTTCTCTTTCTAGGTGATGTCATTGTCTATATTAATGAAGTTTGTGTCCTTGGACATACTCACGCAGATGTAGTCAAACTCTTCCAGTCTGTTCCTATTGGTCAGAGTGTCAACTTGGTGCTATGTCGTGGATACCCTTTGCCCTTTGATCCTGAAGATCCTGCCAACAGCATGGTGCCACCCCTTGCAGTAATGGAGAGGCCTCCGGTAGTGGTAAATGGAAGACATAACTATGAAACTTATTTGGAATACATTTCTAGGACTTCTCAGTCTGTTCCAGACGTAACAGATCGACCACCACACTCCTTGCACTCCATTCCAGCAGATAGTCAGCTTGATAGCACATTCCCACCACCTGCCCATGATGATAATGTATCAATGGCTTCTTCTGGGGCCACCCAAGCTGAACTCATGACCTTAACCATTGTGAAAGGGGCCCAGGGCTTTGGCTTCACTATAGCAGACAGTCCTACAGGACAGAGGGTGAAGCAAATTCTAGACATTCAGGGATGTCCTGGTTTGTGTGAAGGTGACCTCATTGTTGAGATCAACCAGCAGAATGTACAGAACCTGAGCCATGCAGAAGTAGTGGATATACTTAAAGAATGTCCTGTTGGAAGTGAAACTTCTTTGATTATCCATAGAGGAGGTAAGTTTGGAAAGTCTGTACAATTACGAAAATGTGTGTAAAAGGTTCTAAACCGTAAGACATACATATACTCACTAAATCCTTGCGTGCTAGATTGGAAATTAATTTTAATTAAACACCATTGGTTCTGGAAAAGTATGTCTGCAATTAATTATCCTAGGCAAAATCTAACAGTTTGTTGTACATTCCTTTTCGTGTTTTGAGTGTCAATGGTCCCACCTCTCTATAAGGGTAAACTAGAGCAGTTCCAGACCTTTCACTCCATACTAGTTTGTATGGTGTCTGCAGCAAACTCTTATAGTCCCAAAGCAGTGCTGCAAGCTTTGTATTTAACTGTATATATTAACTCGTAAAGGTAGATCAAAATCAGAGCAATCTATCAGCCCTTTACAAGGTTCCTGTTTTGATAAGCCATTTTGCCTCCTTTTTCTTCATTGTAAAAGTATTGTACAACAGTTGTTGTGTTTCTTTCTTGACAACAGAGATACTTGGTATATTTTTCTCTGGTTTTAAAGAACAGCTTCTAGCAACTTAGTTTTTCTGACCAACCTGACACAGTAAACTTGAATACACACCACTGGAAGGGGAGAGTCAAGACTTACCTGTAAGGGAACAATAACAACTGACGTCTTAATACCTTGACAGTGATAAATAATTTCATAGCTTTTCATACTTAAGTCACACAAATTTTCTTGAATGGTTTGAGATGAGCTTCCATCACAATTTTTTATTACCTGAAGTGAATAATGGTTGAATTTCTTTAATTAAAGATCTTTGTTCCTCTAAAGACATTCATATGTCACTGAATGTACCTTACTCTGTGCTTCAAAGGAAAAAAAAAGGGATTCTATACAAAAATACTAATTACTTTCCTTTTGAAGAGTAGAGATTGGGAAGTGAAACTTTAGTGTTTGCATATGCCATGTTGTCATTAGAAAACCTACAAATCCTTAGAACAAGGAATATAGTACCATTTTATCAAATCGCAAAAATAATAAACATAAGGTGATTTAAATATCGGTAGATTTACTTAGTCAAGAAAGTATTTTTCATACCTATATTTAAAACAATGATTTATAAGAGACAGAATCTGACATTTCTCTGGAATGAAACCTAATCAAGAGTGATAAGTAAAGGCCAATTGGTGTCACTGTAGTATAAGAACTTGCAGAAAGTTAATTGTTACAGAGGTGTTATATTAGTTGGTATTAAATCTGGTTTTATTTAACATCCATGAAGAATCTGGAACAGTGGAGTAAATAACATTTTTTTCTGAAGATGCTGACAAATTAGGGAGAACTGCATAGCAAAAAAAGAGTATAAAGGGGATTAGAAGGGTTAATGTAACCCCAAAAGATGAGGTTTTATTTTTAAAAATGCAAGCTAATCCCCCTCTAGAGGAAAACAATTCAGAACACCAATCTTCAGAGAGAAGTGGAGTGTGAAATCCAGTATGCTGAACAAGCCTGAGTAATAATAGACAGCAAAATAGATATTTCAGCAATCAGTGCAGGACGGTACCAAAAAAGCCCTGAAGCAGCAACATACTCAAGCCCATGAGGATAATGCCTCTCTCTCATGAGATTTTCTTCTTAGAGCATCAACTTATGATCAAAACAAGTTGATCAACATGATAGTTTAACAAGTTTTTGTACATTAACTGAGCTGTGGTTATTTTCTGCACATTGCTATGGCAGATAGGAGATACTGCACTGAGCGCAACCCTGAATAGAAGCAGTATAAATTTAGACCATCTTGTCTTTCGTCAAGGCCAAGCATGGAGGTACAGATAGTTGCCCTAGCTCATCTGACACAAACTATTAGGTCCAAATGCAGTAACGTGTTCCTGAGTCTTATCCCTCTGTTGCTGGTGCAGGGGATGGTTGGCTGTAGACAATGTAGAGAAAGGAAAAACAGCATGTTTTGTTCATGGTCAAACAATGACGAAGACTAAAGCAACTGTTTGGAAGTACCACAGAGTGATTAAACTTAATGGGATGATACAGAAAAAATGGAAGGTTACCATCAGAAATTTCTACACCTCAGAAATAAGGAATATATATTAATGCAAGGTTGTTAGACTCTGAAATTAAAGAAAAGGCTCATTTGTTTGACTGACTCAAAAGTGAAAAAATACAGTGTATGAGACAAACCTACTCTACCTGAGAGATGGCTAAAGCATAGCTTAACAGAAATGAGAGAACTGTTTTAAGGTGACGGCCTGGGGTGGGTCATAAATTCATAGGAAAAGGGAATCCATGTGAACAAATATACATTTATAATGCAGGTAATTATATCTATGCTAGTCGTCATGTCTCCTTTTATAGTCCCTGGCCAGAAATAGGCCTTTCTAGGTGTAATGCATGTCATTGCAGGGTAGATGTTTCAAATAAGACAGGTGTCGGGTGTACCCTAAAAGATATATTCTGCTTGACTGACTATAAAGGGAATTGAGGATGACTGGCTCAGATGTACGTGTCTATCCCACATGTTATGAATAAGAAACAGATGATAAGATTTGGTCATGTGTGATAATCTGAATGCAAAACAAAATTCTGGTACTTAGAGAAACCTGCTATGATTCTAAAATATTTAGTCTGTGACACCAGTGAAGCAAGGCATACTTTCTTGTTCCTCATGGATGCAATTTTTATTTTATTACCTCTAATGTGTAATGACACTTTAATAATACCATTCTTTTCCATCGTTACCCTATGCATCCTGTCTTTAGTACCTCATTTTTAAGATTAAGACCAAAGTACTATTCCTGCTTGTGGAAGAGGGAGGCTGTGTTTTGCATAAGGTTGTGTGTTGCCTTGTAATGTGTTCTGTCTCTGATGTGAATATGGCTTGACTGCATATGGCACTGTGGCAAATCCATTTTTGTAAGTGACTTAATTTCTCCCTCTCATCCAGCAATCTTATCTACATTGCAGACAAGACACAGATCGACATTGGATGAGATATATTCTCACTATAGGAACAAAACATCTTATACAGGAAAAAATGTTATCTCGTATGCATATAGTATGCATGGTACAGCATTTAAAAAGCCATTGTCCCTCAAGCTTAGGAGGTTAACAGCCAGCATGTGCAGGGGAAGGAAAGGTCTGCGTGTTTCAAAAAGATGGATGGAATTGCAGTACTCAAATTCAAAGGTCACTAAAGAAAACTGTCTGAACCAACAACGAAGAGGGACTTGTCATGGGGTACAATCCATCTGGAGGAAGTCCCACTGAATTTGTAGTGTACTCATTTTAAAATTTCTAAAGAAAAAGTAGCAATTTACCTGCTTGTTAAAAAAAATCATGGAAATAATATCATTATATAACTAAGAAAACACTAAGCAACACTTCTTTAGATGACAACTATGATACTCTGTGACTAGAGATCTTGCAATCTTCTTTCTGTTTATTAGTCAGGTTCTTTGCGAAACACACATGCACTGCTTAGTTCAGTTTCTTTGCCTCTGTTTTTGCTGATCAGACATATAATTTCCATTGATTACTGTAAGTTGACAGAAGTGTTCGTACTGAAAAAAATATAAAATTAAAGGAAAAGGTGGTAGAACAGTCTGCCTAAAAAAAACCCCCAAAATTAGTAGGAAAAAAGAAGGGAAGAAAAAATATTAAAATTTTTTTTACCCAAACAGATTTACCTCTTTCCAGGTTTGCTTCAGCCTTCATACTTCATCCTCAGTTTCTGCAGCAGTCTGCATTGAGTATAGGTTGCTGAAATAGTGTGAAAGAGCTCTCAAAAGTCAGTCTTTCTGAATATGGATAAAGCAGAAATTCTGAATTAGTCTGGAACTACTGAAAAACAGCACTAAGTGGTTGAAGTGCTATGTACCAAATTTATGTAGAACAAAATATTCACTAATTAGGACATCAAAAAATGGTTTTGGCATGTTCTACTAAATGAGCTATCCAAGTACCTGACATATGCCATCTCTTTTGGAAAGTACCTTTGAAATACATGAACCTATAGACAGCAACCCAGCCCCAGAAGTGTTCCCATCTAAAAAAGATTTGACACATTCAAATGTAGATCCATCAAGACTATGTCTGAAATACTGTTGTTAAGGAAATCTGAAGACAACCCGGGACTGATTCATGAAGCTATGGCAACTCTTAAACAAGTGCTGTGAGTGAAACATTAAAACTAAATGCAAAAAGGGGGAGCCTGACAAAGTTCCTACATCAGACAGCTATTTTATAATGGTGGAATCCAAGCGGGCTCTGAGAAACAGAGACTGTTAGTATGAAACGGAGCCAGAGAGCCGATGCACTGTCCATACTGGTTAATCGCTAGCCCACTCCTGCTGTAGGACTGGAATAAGGCAGCAGCCAGTTTCACCCTGACACGATATGGGAGATAGCATGGGCCACACGCAACGCACAAGCTGTCAAGATGAGGAGGGAGAATTTGACTATGTAGATGTAAACTACACGAATAAAAGGATGGCCAAGTATCTTTCTCAGATTTTGCATAAACCCTAGTAGAAGTTTAGAACTCCTTTCCAATTTCCAAAACAGCCAGAAATTTCACAGAAAACTGTATCTGCATATTCTAGTGAATAAACCTAGCCCCTCAAAATGGGCAGACTTCAATGGAAGAAATATTACATCCTCGGTGTCCTTTCCATGGACTGATCTCAGATTTACCTCTCTACTATAGAGATCAATTTTTATTTTTTTGTCCAGGCTTGCCATAAGATGTCTTTCAATTCCTCTGGTCAGGAAAGCTCATACTTCTTCTCCAAGTTGTCCCCTCTCTTGGGAAAGCTGCATAAAATAAAGCTGCAGGCAGCACCATCATGCTGCTAGCACTAGTTCAGCCCAGGCAGTTCTGATCTCCTGCTTCCATGACCTCAGCCCACCACTGAGGTCTCTAGAGCTTTGGCACTTCTTCTGCAGTTCTTCATTCAAAATATTAAGAGAGTACCTGGTGCAAACTGGAGACCCTGTATCTCATGGCTTGCCCATCCCCAATTCAGTACT